TCGTGTGGGATCGTGGTGATGTCGAGGAGCGGCATGGCCTCCAACCCGACACGCGGCAGAGGAGGACGAGGGAGAGATGGTGGCGGCCCTGCGGCAGTACCCGAGGATCCTGTGAGAAGCGGAGCGCCGACGCCGGCGCTGGGCACCTCGTGAGGCAGGAGATCATCCTCGGGTCAACGACGATATCATCTGCCACCCCTGTGGCCGGGAGGGACACATCGCCCGTGGATGCCGCAGCAGGACGAGTGCACCGGGGACGACCAACCGGGATCGTCAGCCTCGGTCCGCGGCCATTCCAACTCATGCGAGTGCTGACACCTCGGACACCCGGCCAGAACCATACATGCCATGTTCACCCCATCACGCATCTCATTCCTCACGGGCGGTGGCTAGGATTCCCGCTGACGGTCCGGGCCCATGGCTGGACATGATTAAAAAGTGGCGTCGGTTGGCCAGAAAGGTGGTGGCGGCCACGGGGGGGACGTCCGTGTTGGTAGGCTCGGTGGCAGGGGTTAGCGTCCGCGTGTTGGTCGACACGGGTGCGTCGGCCAGCATCATATCCCTGCGTATATTTGACTTGTTACTGGAGGGACAGTGTCGTCTCTCGCTGGTGCAGGCCAGATACATAGCCGCAAATGGGGGAAGTATGGGGATTTTGGACCAAGTGCTAGTGCCGCTCCAGTACTGGTCTCCAGTGTGCTCATGTTTCCCTGCTTGCTGGGCACGGACCTGTTGGGGCTCATGCCCCTTTGCATTCTGAAGGACGAAGGCTGCGTCGAGACCCCGTCGGGGGGTCGCTTGTATTTCTTGCGCCAAGACGGGGAACCGAAGCAGCTTCCGCGAGTTCAGGCGCTGGTCAGGACTATGGTCTCGATCCCGCCTGGTGCACAGGTCTTAGTGCCGCTCCAATATCGCACCCCGCTCATCATTTCCCGGTCGGATGCGCCACTCATTGTCTCCGCATTGTCGTTGGTGGTGGTCGCCATTGTTTTGCAGCAGCTGACACGCTCGTGCGCAGGAATCAGCTCTGTTCATGCAGGTCCTCAACACGGCTGATACCCCCGTAACATTTCAGGAAGGGCCCTTGTTTGCAAATGTCAGTCAAATGCATTCGAACCCTGAGGCGGACACCATCAACAATGTGCAATTGGATGGTCCGTCGGTTGGCGCCGAGGATATGGCATGGATAGACGCGCTCTTGGCACGGAACACCGATCTGTTGGCAAGGGAATTGGGGGAGCTCAGAACATTGTTGAGTGGCTTCGCAGACGTGGTTCAGTCAGGGTCCCTACGATGTTGGTCGCACGTTGCTCATGGAGCACCACATTGAAACGGGCGATGCGCCATCCATTCGGCAGAATCCCTATAGGATGGGTCCTAGGGAGAAGGAGCACATGCGGCAGGCAGTGCAGGAGATGATGGAGGCAGACATAATATCGCCATCGACGAGTCCGTGGGTGGCGCCGGTTGTATTGGTTAAGAAATCGGACGGATCCTTGCGTTTTTGCGTAGACTTCAAGCGGCTGAACAAAGTTACCTTGGCAGATGCCTACCTGCTCCCGCGCATAAACGACTCATTGGATGGCCCTCGCAGGACCAAAATTTTCCCCACATTAGACCTTTTGGCAGGATTCTGGCAGCTACCACTAGATGCCGAATCGAGATCGAAAACGGCTTTCAGAACGCCTCAAGGCCTCTTTCATTTCAACTGTTTGCCGATGGGTTTACAGACGGCTCCCGCCACTTTCCAGTGATTGATGGAGCTGGTGCTCGCTGGATTGCAGTGGGAGTCGTGCCTCATCTATCTCGATGATGTGATCGTGTTCGCTCGCACATTCGAGGAGCACTTAACCCAGTTGCGACAGGTTGTTTTCGAAAATCTGGGATGCCAAGCTGAAATTAAAACCCTCCAAGTGCTATTTGGTTCGCCTCCTCCGTGAAATACCTGGGGCATGTCGTAAATGCGTCGGGGGTCGCAACAGATATCGACAAAATGGCGTGCGTCCATCATTGGCCAACACCCACGTCCGTGCCTGAAGTCCGCAGATTTGTAGGGTTTGTTTCTTATTACCGCCGTTTCGTCGAGAACTTTGCAATCATCACTAAGCCCTTGCATGTGCTCACGGCAAAGGGACAGTTGTTTCATTGGGGCCAGCCAGAGACCGACGCGTTCTTGACACTGCGCCAGTGGTTGACAGAAGTGCCGCCCCTGGCATACCCCGATTTTTCAATTCCCTTCTTGCTGGAGACGGATGCGAGTGACGTGGGCATCGGGGCCATTCTCTCCCAGATTCACGAGGGGAGAGAGATTGTCATTGCCTACGGAAGTCGCATCATGTCGCAGGCTGAGCAGTAATATTGCGTCATGCGCCGCGAGCTGCTTGCCATCGTCTACTTTGTGCAGCAGTTTCGGCCCTACCTGTACGGCCGCGAATTCACTGTTCGGACGGATCATGCGGCATTGCAGTACTCGCTCTGCATTGACCAAGCGACCAGTCAGATGGCCCGATGGTTGGAGCGGCTGCAAGAGTACACATATCGAGTGGTGCACCGGAAAGGAGTCAGGCATATGAACACCGATGCTTTGTCTAAACTCGCAGCCCCCGAGAAGTGCGCTTGCGGCGACGGATCCGCGTGCTGTAGACCACCGGCCGTGGCACAACCCGAGATTGTGGCGCCGGTTTCCGCCAGGGACACGGACCGGCCGGGGCCGAGGGTATCGCTGGATAGCGACTTGGGGCTCAACATGCGGGAATGGAGGGAACGGCAGCAGGCAGACGCGTCCTTGGCACCGTTTCGCCGGCTGGCAGAGATGGCACGCGCTGACGATCTCCCCACGTCAGGGAAGTTTTTCCACATGTGGGAGCGATTGTTGATGTGCTGGGACGTGACGGTGACCCGTAAAGTTCTGGTGGTGCCCTCTTCCCTGTGGGGTCAGCTATGCTCCGATGTTCATGTCCGGTAGTTGCTCCATCTAGGTAGCTGAAAGACCGAGTCTGTGCTACGCCTACGCTGTTTTTGGCCGGGCATGTCCGCCGATATCTGCCGTCAGGTATCGGCATGCGTGGACTGTACGCACAGGAAGCCCCCGCCGGTCGTGCAAACCACTCCCCTGCAGTCAATTAAAGTTTCCCGGGTAAACGAGCTCGTGGGCCGCAATATCTTGGCTCCCTTCACCACCACCCCTCGAGGGTGTAGATACCTACTGGTGGGGATGGAATACTTACACGATGGCCCTTTGCCTGCCCGTTGCCAGACCAGATGGGGGCATTCATAACGGACGCCTTTGTAAATGGCTATGACAAGGGGGCTCCAGAGCGGCTGCTGACAGACCAGGGCAGGAACTTTTCATCCAAACTGTTGCAGGAGGTGTGTGATATGCTGGGTGTTAAAAAGGTGCGGACGTCCCCTTACCACCCACAAACGGACGGGATGGTGGAACATTTAACCGCACCATCTCGGGGATGTTGTGTCACTTGGTCAATGACCAGCAAACGGATTGGGATTTACACATCCCTGGGGTTTTGACGGCCTATCGCTCGGCTCCACATGCATCAACGGAATATTCACCATTTTTCTTGATGTATGGATGCGAGCCGAGCCCTCCAATTGAGGCACAGTTGCGCCCTATCCCATCGCGGGCTGGAGATTGGCCAGTCGCGTTCCGCCACTCGCTCAAGTATTTGCGCGAGGCTCGCGAGGCGGCCTCGGCAGCATCCGCGTCGGCGCAAGCTGCGAACGAGCGCTTGCGGGCTAAGCCGCCGGTCGCGGATCCCTTTGTAGTGGGTGACCTGGCTTGGCTGCACTGCCCGCAGGTACCATTGCGGACGTCAACGAAGCTGCACCGTCCCTGGAAAGGCCCGGTCACAGTGCTGCAGGTATTGTGACCTCAGTGTGTTCGCATTCATATGGGAAAGCGTAGGTGGTACGTTCACCCTTCGAGCCTTCATCGTCAGTTCGGCCGGGTGGGAAGAGGTTGTCACACTCACGGCCTACTACGCGACTGACTGATAATGCAGACACTGTCCATCCTGCAGGACTACAGGTGACCGGAACGCTATCATGGGTCCCATCGCCGTCCGTGGCTGAAGACACAACCGCAGCAGAGGACTTGGTCACAGGACGGGGGCCCGTGACCCGCTCACGTTCACGCCGCCTCATCGCAGCTGTGGACACGGACATCCCTGCAACCCTGTTGTGTTCGGTCGAGGGATCGGATCGTGAGGGAGGTTGGCGACAGAGGCGGCACTCGTGTTAACAAGGAGACGGAGGGCAAATTGTGTTGTGTTTTATTTTGCTTATTGCACTATTTTTTGTGTTGTGTTAGTTGTTTATTGCACTATTTTTTTGTTGTTGGATTGCACGCGCCCGGCCGCAGTTGGTTTTAAACGGCCGAGGCATACATTTATTGAGCCGAGGACAGCTGGGTCTCAAGGGAAGGGGGGGGTGATGTAGGGGATCTGCGAGCCACCCTCATGCACACGCACCACGCAAACACGACGTCTCCGCTCTCCAATCACACGCACGGGAATGCGCGGAAAAAAGGGCAGGGGTCAAAGGGCAGTGACGTCACCCGGACCAAGGCGTGCCAGACGGGAATGTGTATTGGAGATGGGTTAAAGGGCAATGTGGGACGGGTGTTCGAGGTCTGTTGTGGAACGAGTGTTGTTGTGAATTGGTGAATTAAAGAAGTGCGTCAAACCATTCTCGACTCCTCTTCACTAGTGACGAATTGGCATGTTTTGTTTACGTGACAACCCTTACTAGTTGGCTGTGTCGGGTGGTGGCGGGTTTTAACGACACATTATATATTTACGCGATCTAACCCAAAAACCTCTATTATGAACAACTCTGGTTGTCCTCCATACTTGCCCCTCGACATAGGAATGTATATTTTCCACCACTTGCTCTGCAAGCACTGTAAACGGGAGACGAGCATTTGAGCAGCAAACCTTCCTCTGACTTCTCGACCTCCTCTCCACCGCGTTTGTCCCCCACAGACTTGGAGGAGCCCCGGCTCACAGTGCACCAGTACGCGGCTGCCACGCGCCAGTACTTCTATGCGGAGCGCACCGTGTTTCTGCGCTGCGAGGCGCGCTCCAGCCCGGCGGCGCGGCACACCTGGCACCGCGGGGCGCAGCCTCTGCAGCAGGGCGCCGACAGCGGTGTGGACATCTACGGAGCCGCTGTTCACGCATGTAGGGGCGACCACCCGCGAATTCACGTACTCGCACATGCGCGCACGCATCATTCGCCATTGCCGCTTGCTGCCACCGTGGTAGTGTAAAAAATATATGTTAAACACAGTTGCTGGGCAAAGGCCGGACATGTCAAGTGGACAACAACACACCAAGCACTTGTGGGGGCTGCTGCCCCTCATCTCCTCTCCCCCGTTCTCCTTTTCTTCGCCTTGCCTCGTTGCTGCCGTTCACAGCTCCGAGCTCGCTGCCTCTGCGCGGCTCCTATGAGACACGTCTCTTGGCTGGCTCTCGGCCACCTCGGGTCATTCACACACTCCCCGCGTGCATTTCCCCTATGCGTACTTAGGTACGCCCCTGTCCACACTCGGCCACAAGCGGTTACCTGCGCCTATTGGCCACCACGTGCCCACGCTAAAAATAGCGCGGCAGCTGCCCGCGCGTCGCTCCCTTCGTCCGCTACGACTCGCGCTATAAATAGCCGTGTAAATATGCGCGACCGCGGCGCGGCACGATTACCACTAGTCGTGCCACCAACCACAATGCCCACCACCACGATAGCCACATCTACCACTACCACAACTGCAACAACCGTTGTATGATTATGCACATGGGTACCCGTGTACCTCACGGCGCAGCTCTACACACGCGGTAACCACTGCCAGCAGCATCACGTGCTTGAATTGCGTTATCTTGTTTTATTTACCGTCGCAGCCGTTCGGAATCAACTAATTAGGCTGCGGCTGCAGAATACCCGCTCACCAATTTTCTCTCTACGCGCTACACGCGCGGCGCGTGCCGTGAGCGCTGCTGCTCCTGCACGCCCCCGTACTGGCGCGGGCGAACTACAACCAGCACCACACGATGCATAGGCTTACCACACCACGCACTAGTGAATTTAATGATCGAGGAACCGTACCTTAATTCCCAGGGTGATAGCACGTTACTGGCTGCCCAGGCATGCGCGTCGAGTCCAGAGTGAACCCGCCCGTTGCGAGCGCAAACACGTGGGTAAAATTACTCAACCTGTGCGCAAACAAAAGAGCACTCCACCGAACAGCTGGAGGTAGATACAATGCACCCCGGCGATCCGACTCACAACACCTCGCCCTCCTCTCCGCACTCACAGAGACAACACGGCACAGTTTATACTGTACTGACGATTTATTACCTACGAATAACAAACTAAACTGCGCGTGTAAGTGCGGACCAGCAGGCAGATCTAATCTATCTCTCTACGGTCAAATCCTCAAGTGGCCTGTCCCCTCTCTATTCACTCTCTCTCTTAGAACCTCCCCCTTTGCCTTACCTCTCTCACTTACTCACGGTTCGGCCCAGATGTGTGAAAGGTTGGAGAGAGATGCGGCTATACCAAGCTTATGGCTGGGGCTGGAGTTTGGCTGTTCTACAACCCGTCAGACGGACGGTCGAGAAACAGGATGATCGCGCTCCGTCCTCCCTCCTCAAGTTCCGAGCAAAAAGGCCCCCTACTTCTCAATCCATCCCTTTTTATTCCTAGGTTTGAACGTTTACCCGCTGCCCCTCGCTGACCTCACGTCCCGCCCCCATTGTCCTACCAAGTGCTCTGCCCATTCCACATTACTACTGCGGTGCATATGGGTAGAGCCGTTAAACTCGCGGTGCATTATGGGTAGGGCCATTAAACTAGCAGTGCATTATGGGTAGGGCCGTTAAACTCACGGTGCATTATGGGTAGGGCCGTTAATGTGGGGGCTACCGTCCCCCGCCATCACCGAATTGTCGGGGCCGTTGTTCCCCGACTCCCCGTTACATTCGTACTACTGCGGCTGCTGCTGCCCCCCGCCTCCACCGTCCGAAACCCCGCCATCCCCCGTCTCCTCTGTCGCAGTTATACCACTGCCCCCCGGCTGTTCTGTGGGGTCCGGGCTACCGGCCTCCACTTCCTCGCCCCCCTGTACCCCCGACTTGGTTGCTGACCGCGTCGGCATGTCTCAATTGGTGGGGCCGCCTGCTCTACGCATATGACGCGCTACGCTGTTCAGTGGCGGCGTGCGGCGGTGAGTGCGCTCGCAGAGTGAGATTCCGTTCCGCACGTGAACCAACAGGTACGGCGCGCCGACGCGTGATTCCCTCACACACACGCTCTACGCGCTTAGGCAATAACAAACCCGATGCTGCTACCTGCCGAGCCCCGTACACCAATCACACGCGAGGAGTTGGGGTCGGGGGGGAGGGGGGCAGGGGTGTCGCCGTTTAAAACAGCCGCGCGTGTACGCACACACCAGGTGTTTAGCTCTCCGCTTCACTATAGACAACCGCGCATGCACGCGACCTTTAGACACTCCCGTAAACAGTCGCACGGGTACGCAAACGCCAAGCACTCCCGTAAACAGCCGCGTAGGCACGCGCACACTAAGCACTCCGCCTCGTTGTAAACAACCGTGCGTGCACGTGATCACCAGACGCTACACTCCTTATTCGCCTGCAAACAGCCGCGGTATACGCGCGAGCACAAAACACGCCGCCTCCCTCTTCGTACTCACAGCGACCACGACACAGTTTTATCCTCTATTAGCGGTTTTTATTCCCCGCGAATATCCGCTAACTACGTGTGTCTGTGTGAGTCAGCAGGCCCTCCTAGCCTATCCTTCGAGGATCCTAGATCCAATTTATCCTGCCTATCGCTCCGCTCTCTACCCTCGATTAAATAGCTCAAACTCACCTCTCTCTTACTTACGCTTACTTCCACTCTGCTGCGCTGGAAGCTGTAGAAGGGCGATGCTGTGGGTCGTCTCCGTAGAGGGTTGAGCTTGGCTGCGTTGAAGCTCGTCACACAGACGTCTCCAACGGCTGACTCCAACACCCCACTGCTCTCGATGTCTTGAAGAAGAAGAACTCTGCCTTCACTGTCTCAATCACCTGCCTTTTATCCTATCTATCAAAAAAGGCATCCCGCGGACCTTGCTTGCCCGTGCCCTCTTGTCCAATCGGAGGCTGAGATATTTCTGTCCCTTTGACATTCGGATCCCCTAATCCCACCGATAACAAAAGGCATTCAGTTGTTCCTGCGCTAGTGGCCCTCTTGTCCAATCGGAGGCTGAGATATTTCTGTCCCTTTGACATTCGGATCCCCTAATCCCACCGATAACAAAAGGCATTCAGTTGCTCTCGCAACCATGCCGCCCTGTCCATTCAGAGGCCTGGTTATTCCTGTCCCTCTGTTATTTGGATCCCTAATCCTACCTATAACAAATGCATTCTGATCCGTATCCCCCTTGGCCTCCTGACTCGTGTTTGTGTGAGTGCGGTTTCACTCGCGGTGGCTCAATGGCCTCTGCCGTGACCACGTAACTTTAATATCAGGTCACGGCGCTGCGGTGCATGTCAGCCTCCGGGGTAGATTGCCCAATTGTCCGGCCGCAGGAAACCATGAAGCTTGATCCCATTAGAGGTTCTGTATAAAAACCTGTCGGCCAGGTGACCTTCTCTCCCGGCTCTACGTGGGGTGTGCGTGCATTCATGTGGGGGGGGGGGGGGGGGGGGGGATGGGCGGCGAGGGGCGCATCACGTCGGCGCCGTCACTCCCCGGTGGCAGTGTCACGGCGGTGGGCACGGCCCCGATGGAGCGGCTCCGCTGCGGCGGCACCACACAGCCCCCCAAGGTGCCAGTCCCCGTCCCGGGTTGACTAGAGCACATCGCCTGGGTTGCCCCTACGAGGTAGCGCCACGGGGTCCGCGGGACTCGTCCGGCTCTCGTGGCTGGCCTCGGCGGTGGTGTCTCCGTCTCTCGGGGTTCTGGTGGCGGTCTCCTCCACTCCAGTGGCTCTCTCCGGTCCTGGGTACCTGCGGGCTGGGAGACAAACTCGGGGGCGGTAGGGTTCAGGGGCCGTCGTCACCATCTCTCCTGCCTCGGGTCGGGACCCCCTGGGGCCCGGGGCTCTGTGGGGCCCATATACTGTGCGAGGCCCCCGGGTATGGGGGGTGTGGGGACCCCGGGGTTTCGGGGTGCTTGAACGGCGGGGTTCTCCCTCGCTGGGGCCGTCCTCCATGGTTTTAGTCGCCGGACATTGACTACCATCTCCCGGCCCCTCTCTCCTCCCTGAATCAGTACCGTCCAGGGGGAGATCTGTCGCCCCACGGTCCAGGGTCCCCACCAGTAGGTGGTTAGCTTCCCCACCTGTCCGGTCCCGACGCGAGGGGTGTGCAGCCACACCTTAGAGCCCGCCAAGTAGATGGGGGGCTCCATGCGGGGTCGGGCGCCCTGTTCCTGCCGCTGGTGTGCAGCCTCGCCTTGCGGGTAGGCCCGGACCCTAGCTCCTCGTAGAGTCTCTATCAGGTGCTCCACGGGGCGGCTCCCTTCCTCCCGTTGTGGCGGAGGGACACCGAACAGTAGATCTGCGGGCAGGCGAGACTCGCAACCAAACATCATTAGGAATGAGGTCTGTCCCATAGATGTGTGTACTGTGGTGGCGTAGGTAAACAGGGCATAGGGGAGGTGTTCGTCCCAGTCCCGTTGATTCGCGGCCGCCATGCGTTTAAGCTTCCTGGCTATAGTCTGGTTCATCCTCTCTACCATCCCATTTGCCTGGGGTGTGATACGCCGTAGTTCGGTCCTTCTGGATCCCGGACTCCCGGCACAGCGCCTGGAATAGCTCTGCCTCGAACTCACTACCCTGGTCGGTAATGACTCGTTCGGGGATCCGCGCTTAAGTAGGTAGTGTTCCACGAATGACTCGGGCCACTACGAGGGCTGTCTTATCGGAGATGGCCACCGCTACGGGATAGCATGTGAAGAACTGCACCGCTACGAGAATATATTGATTGCCCCGGTGGGATCGTGGGAATGGCCCTTGCAGGTCGATCCCAACCAGCTGATTCGTTCGACTGACGCGGAATGGCCTCAGGGGTACCTGATATCGCGCTGGTTTCGGCCCTGCATTGCTGGCCGCACGGCAGCCCTCTACCCAGGCGGCTACGTCTTGTTGCTAACTTGGGCCAGAGATATTGGCGACGCAGGA